CACAATTGCATATATCTTGGTTTAGCATTTTAATTTCTGGGGTTTAATGGGTAAATAGAGAATGGGGGCTCACCAGCATCAGCATTAATGACTTTACTATAAATAATGACATGGAAGTTTTCCCAAAGATTCATCAAGATTCTCCAAATTCGTGTTGGGAGATTTTAAGGACCCTCGAGCCTCGTTTCAAGCGTGGTTCCCTTTGGTTACCTCGTCCACACATAGAAGAAGGAAAAAAGCATTCTCATATGCACTCAAGACTGGAAGTATCCCCAACGGAGTGACAATCATATCCGACGACCATGTGTTTCATCCGTCAGATATTGTCCCCTCTAGATGCCTAAATCTAGTATACACATCAGACACCATCCCTATAGACTGCTAGAAACATCACATTTGGGTAAGATGCGTGCTTGTAGCTAATTGAGCTATTTCATATCCTTGATACTCATATTCTTCTCAGCAATGATAGCATGGGGCCGAGCAATATCTACAGATGACTTGCTAGGAGAAGGAATATGTGTTTCATATAATCACGCTTGTAATCAAAATCACTGTGGATGAGCAAGTTTCATGGATGACAGAATATAAAGATTGAATTAAAATAAAAGAAACCAATAGGCAGCAGACGTCAGGCAGAGCCAATATATTGTGAAGACTTTGGGGGCTGAACGGGGAAAGTTCTAATATGGGCTCGCTGGACAGGAGTCGAGTTCGTTACACGACTTTCAGAATGTAGCCTGTCCATTCGGCGTCAAGGGGGTGAGTCATATCAAGTTCTGGTGCAATGGCATCATGGATCCCTTTACCCGATGGTCATTGTCTCTGTGATTGCTCTCTCTCCCCCCCCTCTCAATCATGGCCATTTAACCAGCATCTCTCGAGAAGATGATTGAACCAATTACACCATCGAGGGCCACATAGGGCTGAGTTTGATCTTCATATAAACAGACGAGGAATGAGTGAGCTGCCTGTCTCTCGTGAGGGATATTTTTTGAACCACGTGGACACCATGACCGTAATTTGCAAAAAACAAAGTCTCATCTCAATGGGAATCTCGGTAGCACCTTGCTTCCCGCAATGATTCGGGAGGTCGCGGACAATGTGTCAGATTGAGGGCTTTCTTTACAGAGGAAGCAGAGTGAGCCTTATATGAGCTGAAATACGTCTTTATATACCATCGTCGCAGACATTTTATTCCGGTATCGAGACAGCGGGCTGCGAGAGGAAATGGGATAGTTTTTGCGCCACTGGGACTTTTCCCGCCCCCGTCTCGCGGACTATCACCCCTCCTCATCCTCCATCGTACTTCTGTTGCCTGTTTTTAAGCTTTACGAAAACAAAACATGGAGGAGCTTCTTTCTTCCACCCTCTCGCTGTCGTCTGCCCATTCCCGCGCCCGACGAGTCAGGGGAAGATCAGACATGAACTTTAGCCATTTCGGGGAAGCGGCAAAACCGTCATATCGCGTGGAAACGAGAGTTCCTCTGCAGATGGGTAGGTAATCTAGAGAATCGCCTGCCGTTTGCCGAGAAATGCCATGAAAGTCAAGGACAGAGCGAAATATAATTTGACACGCGCTATAATTCTGAACATCAAGGGAGATAGATCAAGGATGAGTTATCGGCTTCTTCATCTGCTCTCGTATGTATACCTTGACCACGTTCTCGAGGATCTGCCGATACGGGAATTATTTATAGGCGGCAGCCGACGTCACACAACTTCAACAGAGCGCCAATTAGAATGATTTGGTACCTGAATCTCAACGTGCGACCTGCCCCGTTGAAGGGATCTTGCATGTTGGCTTTTTTCCACTTTCACACCCACAGCTCGTTCGATGCTTGTGACTGGGAAATACCTTGCAATATATATGTATATATATGCGCCCTCCCGACTGGTGGCGTTCCTGAAGGGGAGGATGGGGAAGATAAAGACGCGCGGGAAGCAACCGGTCGTGAGAAGCTTTGCACCCTTTCAAGCCTTCCTGCCTTCTTAGCCTAAACATATTTGATGATTCAAGCGAATAAACTCTGGATGCGGCGCGACTCGTCAACTTTAGGCGAGTCGCGTGTGCAATCATGAAAGGTAGAGAATGAGGTCCTACCTCTACTCACGCACCTACATACCCACCTACATACCTACCTTGGCACTGATGCTTTGTCGGGCGCAGCAATGATGCAGGGAATTTTATGGTTAGCAATAAGAGGTTCCATGCATTTCCCCAAAGCGTTCCACGAGCGACGTAACCGTCTTTAATTTTGTAGGCTTTGGCTGCGACATCCCGAGGTCCCTGGGCTTGTGGTAGTGTACATGTAATTTGTACCTGAGATGGAGATGATAGGTAGGCAGTGCACTCAATGCTTTTCCCGGGCCGAGCCATGCAGAATGAGCGCGGGGGTGCTAGTTTCTTATCAAGATGGATATTGAATCAAGCTGGCCGTCCTGATGTGTCCGGACGTATTGATAAACCTCGTCGAGGATGAATCGCTAGTGTGTAACGTGCGTGGGTATGGAGACAAAGCTGCCACAGGTCGGTAGGGATTGCATCGTGGTCTGTCTGTCACGGGCTGAGGTCCGAACAGTCAAAAGAAGCATAGACCCAACTTTGATGGGCGGATTGACAACGCAGCCATCAGTCCATCCTGATCCATCATGATCCAGTATTCAGCATCCACGCTCAGCTCGATGGAATAAAGAGTCGTAAGTTGTCGCAAAGGCTAGTAGGCTTAATTTGATGAGGCTGACGTCTCCTTGGTCCCCATCTATGCTCTTGTCCCCATCTTTGAGAGTGTGGGGAGCGAGCGGTGTACGTGGTGCCGCGTGTGCCAGAACTAGCAAAGATCAACTTACGTATACTGCTTACTTTGTGAAGAGGAGATATAGAAATGAGGGGCGGTGAGTATCAGTCAGCACAAATTATAGAGACGAGTTGAAGAGAGAGTTGAATCATGGTAATACGGGTCGTCGATATATGGAGGATGGAATGGAGTTGTAAAGTCGCCAAGCAGAAATGTGAGAAGGCGAAGCTTTGCTAAGCTTCCATTTGTGGTTAGAGGAATTGTACCTGCAGAGTCTCGGTTCCATGGCTATCAATAATTTTTCTATTCTTCCCCAATTTCTGCAGAGGGGGGACCAAGGGAAGGGAGGGAATAAAATCAGGGAATTGGCCAAAACAACCTTTTCTTTGACCCGGGCGCAAAGAAAAGTGACATACCTAATTGAGGCATTACTTCCACCCAATCATGAGGTTCCCTTTCACTCAAATCTCCCGAGATTATAAGACAAGGGTTCCAGAGTTCCAGGCCAGAGCAAAGGGGAACAGAGATCTGGATCGTAACTACTGACTGCCCCTTGCCCTGCTTGGTGACTGACCGCTGGCGCGTTTTTCCATGTGCCAAGACTCCTTTGCGAGGGCGTCTAGATTGCAATTGCTCATTCCCTGGAATTCTTTGGCTGTAGAAGAACCGTGCCGACCTTGCCTAGGTATGTGACCAAAGCAAATATGGCGGCGGGCCCCTTTCTAACGTAGAGGCTAAAGGGGATATGGTTCCGCAGTAACATGCCATTGCAATATGATGCCAGCTATCTTCTCATGTCACTGTAAAACAATAGGTAGGTAGTGTGTGGTTTTTTTTCTTTTTTAACAAGCTTCGAGTACAGTTGAGCTGCTGGAGCGTTTGTAGAACAACTTTAAAGCCCGCCCACGTTGAGCTTTTGAGTTCGAGACCGTGTGCTACGTGACCCCAGGGGTCATAGTCTACTGACCCTGAGGCTTCTGTGCAGATAGGTCCAGTCAAAGTAGAAATAATGTATGTTAATGTAATCAGTGAAATAGTTCTGGTGGGAAATCCGTTGTTGGCGCGGCGCGACGGCAGAGCGCGCGAATGACACAACTCAGGGGGAACAGCAAGCCATCTCTGGCACAGGAATGTCATGCCAAGAGCTTGTCACCTCAGGAAAACAAAGCCTTGGAACGAGCTAAGGATGAACGGCGTTCTCGTCAGAGACATTAGAGAACAGAGGCGACCTGGAGCTAGAGGGGCCCAGAGCTTGTTGAAGAGAAGGACGAGAATTGCCGTCCATGGTATTAGGTGCAGGTGTATGTAAGCAGAGAGTTGCATTAAAATTCTCCCTCTCTTGGACACCTTTTTGCCGCCAAAAACTGAACAGACCAAATCATCAATGCACGAAATCAGGAGGAAAAGGGTCTGGAATCTGTCTCCACCCATTATTGTGATGGCAACCCGCGTTCCCATTATTCAATGTTGTCGCTCATCACATTGTCTTCTAGCCCTGTGTTCTCCTCAAGCATGCGCCATCAACTAGCAGATCCGTGCCAAACAGCAGGTCAACACCCACTGATGGTCAGTACAGATTCCGATCTAAAACCCCTCATTGGGGAGCCATCGTACTATTTGTTGATTATTACCTGGGATCCTTGGAGTGCTTTGGCTGGTAATAAGTTAGCGTCTCCCCCCCGGAAGTCCAGCGCTAGAGAAAAAAGCACGGTTGCTGTCGCTGTGTTGATGAATGGGTACTGTCCACCAAACAGAGTGTGCCGACAAGTCAGTCCACTGACTCTCTCTCACTGGCGCCGTTGCGGGTATTCTGATTTCGGTGTTTGAGCAATTTATTTTATTAACAGAGTAAGCAGCTAACGAATGGGATGGAGGCAGAGAAAGAAGCGGTTGAGAATCGAGTACTAGTAATCAAGGGAACTGGGAATACCTGCGCAGGAACCAAGCAAGAATTTATTAGCATTACGTAGAGAAACATCTAGTGGCCAGCATAACAGCATAGCCTCGCAGCAGATTTCATCCTTCATCCAGTAGGAGGAGCCGGTTGTTTTCAGTCTCCCAGATGCCTCGACGTCTTGGCAGGCCTATTGCTACATTACCACCAACAAAAAGTCTGGAGGAGCTGCAACAAGATCCAAGGTTGTTGCTCTTTGCACGACCCTGTCTCTCCGACTCTCCCCCCCC